ATGAAGGGAATCTCTCTTAAAATGAAATCTAATTACAGATAAAGTATTGTTTTTGTGCCAAATTTGTTTAATAAATGTATATTATTGTCTATAAAGCAATATATTTTGCTGTATACAGTAAACCAGTGTATTATAAACGAAATGTATAGTATTTGAAGGGAATCTGAAGGGAAAAAGGCAATGAAGGGAAATGAAGGGAAGGGAAAGGGATTCCCTCTTCCCTGCAGATGAAGGGAAAGGGATTCCCTCTTTTCATCATTGAAGGGAAGAGGGAAGGGAAGGGAATTGAAAAATACGAAAAGTTGCAAGTCTACCTGATATTTGATGTAATATTTATACAGTATATAAATTGACTGCAGAGTACTGTATGTTATAATTGATATTTGTATTGTTTAATTCAATAGCATTAAGCGATGCCAACTGCTTGTGATGGCTCACAATTGGCGGTCAACTTATTGTGTCCATCAATAGATCCATTGAGTACTTTCAGTGGCACCTCATCCCCGGCTAATGTCATTCCCGAAAACAACTCTATCCATAATTACATGACATTTACCGTATTTGTAATACGGTTGAAAAAATGCCCGGCATTTAATATATATGCCCGGCACGTGCCCGGCATATGCCCGGCACGTTTCTATCCAAAAAGGCACCACACCAGATGGCGTAAGTAGTAAAGTGTGTCATCCCCCATTTTTGCCCTCAGATTTCTTTTTCAACTCGAAATCCAACTAAAATGTAATTCATTTCAATTGTTATAATAAAATGTCAAATGAAACCAATAAGTTGTGAATCACATCTGATTTGTGCGCTGAGATTGGCTTATAGTTGATGACAGCCCTATCCAACTGTTGCACAGTTCTGGCCGGTTGTGAGGCCTTTCTTATGGTCTCCTTCTTCAGGTTCATGTAGTTATCGTTACCGATGGGCCGACACTCGCCCTTCTGGACAACATTGCCCTCCAGTGCCAGACCTGATGTGGACGACTCCTCTGTACAAATCATAACACATATAATATGTATCTAAACTATAGTCAATATATCATCCATTGTTCAATACCTGACATCTGGGAGAAAACGGCGAGCGTTTGGTTCTTAATGTCAGAGATGGCGAACTGATGTTCGGTCGGAATCATCACTTGTTTCACCGCCGAGGAGTCGTTTGTCTCACTTTTGGTCACTTCTTGTGATAAATTGAATAATATCTCCGGCCGTCCGGAGGATGACCTGTGGGTGAGAGCGAAAAGTGAGCGGAAGTGTTGAAGTGGTGGTCAGTTGTGGTATACTTAGTGATGGAGAGTCGGCCGACTTCTGTGAGTGGAAGTGCTTTTTGCCATTTGTTGCTCATATACTTCGGCACTTTGACTAACCAAACGCCACGACTAGCGTTAGTACAGTCCAAACCCGTCACACCATTCACACCACTATTACTACTGCTTTCACCACTCATTGCAACCGATTTATTCATTATTTGTCACTATTTAGTAAACCATTCAAAA